CGCTGTGGAATCCAAAGGCCCTAATTTATCTATCAAGCTCTTCCATTATCCCAAATTCCTCGTATAGCTACCCGAAGGAGTCCCAAAAACAAAAGTGTTAAGACACTCACACCTGGATACCTGAATATTTGTGCCATGTTTGGTTCTGCTAACTTGTGAATGGACGCAATCTCAAACACAGCGCCCATGGGATATCTAGGAAGCCAGGAACACAAAACTCTATTACAGATTCAGGTTCAGCGACCCTGCATACCTAATCCTAGATCCCCATCATGCCTGAATAACATTCCAAGGACTTTTTATCCTCATCATCCCCTTATTGTTTACACACTATTACACAAAATGCTTTGATAGTTGATGATATTTTAAACCTTTGAAGAACAAAGTTGCATAGCAAACAAAATAGTCTTCTAAATATGTAATTATATAGGGCGATAGCTAAGATAAACACAAAGCCCAGAATAATGTACTGAATTGATAGAAATATTAGACAGACAGATAACTTGTAGTTTACTTCTTACCTTCTCCATCTTCATCAATAGAAAAAGAAGACAGTAAGTGAAGTGTATCATTTTCATCCAAACAGATATAACTGGACGAGTAATGATGAAGGTCATATTGTACTAGCAAAGTGACTGTGGAGTTATGGTGCCAACTGTCATCTTGTAGAGCAGTATTCGTGTTCTGCTAGAAAGTGCTATACATCCTCTCTCTGTACTAGATCGTATTCTAAAAACAAATACTTGTAGAGCAGTATTCGTGTTCTGCTAGAAAGTGCTATACATCCTCTCTCTGTACTACATCGTATTCTAAAAACAAATACTTGTAGAGCAGTATTCGTGTTCTGCTAGAAAGTGCTATACATCCTCTCTCTGTACTACATCGTATTCTAAAAACAAATACTTGTAGAGCAGTATTCGTGTTCTGCTAGAAAGCGCTATATATTCTCTCTGCATTACATCGTTTTCTAAAAAGAAATACTTTTATGATAAACTACGCATTCTTATTGCTGCTTTTAATTTAAGTATCTTCCTTTAATTTTTAAGCGATTTCATTTTAAGCAATTACTGAGTTTGTTACTATAAAATATATACCTGTACTATCACCAGCCATCTCCTAAAAACAATACGTTTTAGAATTGTGCAGATGTTTCTAAGCTTTGTTATAATAGAGCCCACACAAGTTTGTAGAAAATATGTCGTCAAACGCCTAAAAACGGTTCTTGTATCCTGTGCATAAAAACACAACAACAACAACACCTTACGAGGTGTTCCATCATTCTTCAAAGCTTGTGCGACATATTTTGATTCATATTTCGTTGTCCCATCTTGTAGAGACGACCTTTTCGTGTTTTTCTATGAATGCTTTACACAAGTTCGTCGCTCACTTTAATCTTGAATTCTTACTGAGACGTCTGTCATATACGTTTCCTAAAAATCCTTACATGTACGTCTCTGTCAAATCGCAAATATGCAGTAAAAAGCTTCTTAAGGTTTGTTTGTTTGTAATTAAATACAAAGCTACGCAATGGGCTATCTGTGCTCTGCCCACCACGGATATCAAAATCCGGATTCTAGCGTTGTAAGTCCGCAGACATGCCGCTGTGCCACTGGGGGGCGCTTCTTAAGGAAACAGATTGTTTTGCTAGCTCTAATTCAGTCCACGCTTTCCTAAGTGTGAATAGAACTGCACGTGGCATAACAAGCAAGCACTATGACTGACGCCCGTGGACAAAACTGGCTATGTATCAGGTCAAGCTTCTTATGGTCTTTTCACCTTTGCTGACCCAAAGTCCAGTTTAGAATTCTTTCAAAAAATCATCTTTCGTTTGAGACACACACAAGATCAGTCAGGATAGTTTAAGTAAACTGAAGCACAGAACATGTGAGATGAAAAGAGTCGAGCTAGTGTAGACCTAAATTTAACTTCTGATAGAGAAAATGGGTCTTTCAACCAGTGGACCAAAACCCGAAATTTGTCCTTGGTGGGACCAATGAGAGAAAGCTGTGAATCTCGGCAGCTATATATATATATATATATACAGCTGTTAAAACATAGAATACTAGTGTTAATATATAAGACGTTGCACAAAACATCTATAACATACGTCAAAAATAAGTGTACTTGCATCTTGATTTTGAATGCCATATGTGTTACGACTCAAATGTTACAGGAATGCGGAATGTTGCTACTTTAGTAATTGAGGATATTAATATTTTCTGAATGTTTCTCTCTCTCATTTTGCCCCACAGCGGTATGTCTGCGAATTTACAACGCTAGAAACTGGGTTTCGATACCGTGGTGGGTAGAGCACAGATAGCCCATTGTGTAGCTTTGTGCTTAACTTCAAACAAACAAACTCTCTTTTTTTTTCAATCGACTCAGAGACTTGTTTCTATTTAGAATGTTACATTCGTCAGCTTATAAACTGAAGTATGGGATATTAAAAAGATGCTTTTCCAAATATAATCCGATAATTTCAACGACCAAAGAAAACTTAAGGTTTACTCACAATTATCTTGTACTTCCTCTGTATAATGCCTTGCCTATGTTCAGCTAATCTTTTACCTTTTGTCTGGAGAAGCTACATTTTTGAAACATATCCTCCAATTTGTTAAAATTTCGGTAAAATGCCAGCGTTCATCCGTTATAAGTTAAACTGACGCATTTATAAACTTCATTGTAAAATATGCTAATTTGGAATTTACGGAGACTCGCGTCGTCTAGAAAATCCCAAGGTGACAATAAGCATACTTTAAATGTAGAAGATTGAGAAGTAGTATTGTATTTTCTAATGCACAAAGATATAGAGTGACAATAATACTAATCCTTGAGAAGAATGAAAATATGCTAATCAATTTCGTTGTTATGTTTTAAAATGTATTTCGGGATACGATTCTTCATATTTTCCCATTCGTACAGCTAGAAGGTTAATTGGATTCTAAGCGGGTTTTTATCTGCGAATCGCTAGACTACTTTGCTCGTCCAAAACGAAATTCTTGATATATATAGACAACTTAAGTTGTTTCTAAAAGCTTGAGGAATGTGCAAGTTAATTATTTGTCAAGAAATCTACTTTCATCCTCTTTTTATCTACTGTATTTCTCGAATGTATAGCTGTTATTAGATTACTGTATCTTGCGATATTTTCGCGGCTGTTTGTGATATATGTGTGTTGTAATAGTTCTACGAGTGTTGCTTTCGCGACCGTCTGTATTATAATACCCCTGACTTTGTTACTCGTACGACTATTCGTGTTATTTTGGCGACTGTCTGTGCTATTTTACTTTTTCATTCGTTATTTCGATGACTGTCCGTGATATTCCTGCGTCGTTCCATAAACTGTCTGTATTATAATATTCACACTAAAATGTTATACTGCTAGAATAGAACAGCACTGATCGTTCGCCAAAATAACTGAAGATCTGTTGTTTTTCTTCTGTACGAATGTATTCTAATTTCTCCAAATGTCTTCTTGTCAAATCTGTAGGATTACAATCTCTCCACCCACCCCCCACCCCCATAGTAATTTTTCCGTCACCATGCAGTTCTACATAAAATATACGCGCTCCCTCCAACGGCTCAGCCGTAAGCTTAAGGGTTTATAACAACTCTAAATACAGAGATTCGACACTCATGGTAGGTACAGCGCAGATAACTCTTTATGTAGCTTTGTGTTTCAAAACATACCAACGAAGTTTACTATATGAACTCAATTATGCACTCAAGAAAAACCATAGCAACAAGAATTAATGATTAAGCTTAAAATTTGCTGATGTTTCATATTTAAGACTTAGTTTAAACAAACGAGTCTTTAGTCTCTCTAATTAAGTTCCAGGTTCTTATTATACACAGAGATAAGTGAGGTTTAGTACTTCCCGTCAATCTTCAACCAAAACAAACTTCTATTCAAAGAAAGATTTAACTGGGTACATCGCTAAACGAGTCTTACCTAAACATATGAAACAGTTGTTCATTCTTATTCCGAAGTTTATTTAGATATACTCACTAGAATAAATAGACAAAAAAGAAGAAGGAATTCAGCATTAAAGATAAGTATTAGTCCACTATCAAACTCTGTCATCCGCTACTAGGCAGGTTTGAGCTATGATCTTGGGTTCGAGCGCAGGACGCGAGAGGTACTTGATGCTATTAAGTTTTAATAATTGAAAATAAGTTTCTTTAAACATATTTCCATACACTCTTTATGTAATCTCATTACATTGAAAATACTTGAAACTACTCTTTAGGTGTTATGGCCTGTAATGGGAATTTCAATGAACTACAGTGTTGTGAAGTTCTACATTCAAACAACTGTAACAAATATCGAAAGTAATTACGCAACCTTTAAGTCAAAACTATACTCTTACAAACTTTGAACTTATTTTGGGTTATTTATTTACATGCTGAACCCCTTACCAGTTTCAGATTTTAGCGCAAAGCTACACAAGGGCTTCCCCTAACTTGCAACTGATAGACTAGAAGGAACGCAACGCTAGGATGTGACTGTCGCTCGTATAGCGCACTCACAGTCTCAAAGCGCAAAATGCGTTTTTGTGGCAATGGGATTCAAATCATTAATCTTCTAATTCACATTCCGGGCAAGAAAATTAAGAGGCTTCGCCAGGCTCCGAAACCGTTATCAAACTTTGTGATTCTAAATAGATTAGCCATTGTTTGGCAGTAGATAAACAAAGGCAAAAAAAAAAAAAGATTAAAAAAAATCATTTGTTTAAATCTATTTATCTACTTAATTATTCATAATTTCTTGGTGGATCAGAGGTAAGTTTATGGACTTACGATGCCAAATCCGGCGTTCGATTCCTTGAAGTAGACAGAGCGCAAATAGCCAATTATATTGCTTTGCGCTAAAACAACTTATTTATAATGAATTTTATACGTATAATTTAAAATATCTATAAACTTGTTCTTCTTTCTTTATGTAGTTTAAAACGCTTCCAAGTTCGTATATACACATAAAATATGTTCATATTCCTTACTCTGACTTTTTCTGGCCATCCCCTGACTTGTTGCATGTCTTCTCGCAGACCATACTTTTCTGCTTCAGACTCGAGAATTTCGAAAGTTGACTCTGCTTCTGATAACCAAGCGAGAAACCTGTCCAGAGCTTTATCCAGTTGTTGTAAGGAGTTGACTGCGTTTTGCAAAGCTTTACTTCTTGCTTGAAGACTGGATATTTTAAAGGTTAAAACATAGATGTAAGCTAGCGCCATATTTGTCAGAAAGAATACCTATGTTCAGCTCAGTACAGAAAATCTTCAATAAAACTTTATGTTTTAAACTCAAACAATGACGGAATAATATGAATTATGATATTCTAATTTAGTATTTTATTAATTGGTTAATAAATTTTAATCAAGAACCTTGAACTAGCAGATCCAAAATCTGCCCAGGAGGGGTTAATCAAAATATTTTTCCGCTACGTGTCGTTGTAACTCTTCTTTTCAATAAACTTTTCCTTCTTAATAAACCATTTACCCATTAATCTCCCAATAAGTACATTAAATTTGAAACTGCATTTTTTAACTTTACTCTATGAGATATCATTAGCATCATACCAAAAGTAATAAAAGTATGTATGACCTCATATTAATTTAATGAAATTAATAATAAATGTAGAATAATTTGTGAAAACGAATCTTATTGTTCGGTTGGTGCTCAAATAACCCTAAAATAAACATTGCCATTTTTTTTTAATTATACATTTAAGACCTGATTATACAAGATATACAATGAACTGTTTTACTATAACTTTTTCTCGCATTTTCTTTTTTATAATTCTCCCTTACATACCCTTCTCTCACTCCTGGATCCGCAGTTTTGTCATTCCTTGTATTTAAAATTTACTCATTTTGACGTTCAGTCACTCTTGCACTTGCCTAACGCTTTTCAAGACACCTTATTCGTCCTGATGTGATGATTGTTAACAAAAATGTTAGAAACCTCGGCGTCCCAGCATGACAGTAAATATAAATAACATATAACAAACGTTTCACAGCAATTCAGTTGATCCAACAGGAAGTTCATTGACATTAGATGCTCTTTTGAAAAAATGTATTATCCTTTTGTTAATCCCTCCAAGCAAATATCATGTTTTATACAAACGTTTGGCTTTGGCTACAGTAACAGGTAAACTGCCCCACTTACTTATCATGTTTCATAGAAATATTTGAGTTCCGTAACAGGTAAGCTGTCCCATTTCCTTCTCATGTTTTATATAAATGTTTGGCTATAGTAAGAAGTAAGCTGTCCCGTTTACTTATCACGTTTTATACAAATATTTGGCTACAGTAACAGATAAGCTGTTCCACTTCCTTATCATGTTTTGTACAAATATTTGAGTTCAGTAACAGGTAAAATGTTCCACTTCCTTCTCATGTTTTATACAAACGTTTGCCTATAGTAACAGGAAAGCTATTCCACTTGTTTCTCTGTTTTATACAAATGTTTGGCTACAACAACAAGTAAGCTGCCCCACTTCCTTATCTATTTTATACAAATGTTTGGCTACAACAACAAGTAAGCTGCCCCACTTCCTTATCTATTTTATACAAATGTTTGGCTACAACAACAAGTAAGCTGTCCCACTTCCTTATCTATTTTATACAAATGTTTGGCTACAACAACAAGTAAGCTGTCCCATTTACTTATTATGCTTTAAATAAATTATTAACACGTCTAGATGTTATGTGAAAAAGCCATTTTTTTTTCAAACCACAGGACTTCTTAGAAGTCAAAATCGCTGTTTAAGATTAGATTAATGACATCACGCTGACTGTATAGAAAAATATTTTCAACAAAGCGAAACATGCAAAATTAATCAAAAAATAAGCTAAGAATTAAAGAATGAAACTCTAGCAAATAAGTGATTATATCATGAATTATATAATTTTAACGTTGACATGTCGAGTCCGTTTATTATTGTTTCCATTTAAACAATAAGAGCTATGAGAGCTTTTCTTTACTTCTAGATTGCGTAATTCTTCTTGGTACTGGCGTTTTTACCGTTTCCTCAAATGTTATTCACCTACACTATCATTTTTTTATTAGTATAAAATCCTGGTATATTTATACTATATTTAATTTAGGATACTAACCGTGAAGATAATTGCATATATCTTTGATATATTTCTTCGGTTATATCCCTCAACTGCAATATGTCATCGTGAGGATTGTCACTGGCCACCTTATCAGCCAATCGGCTTAAACTTTCCATATCCGGGTTCCACTGATGAATCTCATTCTGAAGTATCTGTCATTGAGAAAACCATTAGCCTCTTTGATTTAAAGGTCTTAGAAATGTTAACGTTTTCCTATGTTTCATTCTAAATCATTTGCTGACATTAAATATAATCAATACTTCTGAGTTAACACTTTCAAATACAGAATGGAATAAAGGTTAAAAAGATATTACGAAAACAACTGAAATCAATCTAATTATTGTTTGTTTCAGAGTAAGACGTTAGAAATTAAACTATATTCCAAATGAAACAACTTTTCCCCACCCTGTATATAAAATGATATCCTTGATCAACAAATTCAGTTATTGACACAAGTATTTGTTCAATCAGCTACGTTTATATTTTGTTATTGCTTTTCAGCTTTTTCAATTAGGATTTATTAACTAATGTTTGATACGACAAATGTAGCGATTATTTGGACTTTGAATATTGAAAAAAAATAGAGCGAACTTTTTTTCATATTATCTGCATTGTTTATGTGTTTCTTCTTATTTTACACCAAAATTAATCACATTATTAAACAATTGTTGTTTGTTTGTAGTTAAGCACAAAGCTCTGCCCACCACGGGTATCGAAACCCGGTTTCTAGCGTCGTAAGTCCGCAGACATACCGCTGTGCCAATGATAGGGATACAATTTTTGAGAAATGTTAAAAGTTTCATATTTTAAGTTTTGTCATATTTTGGTTTCTGCATTAAATTCATATTTCGATTAAATGCCGGTTATACTAACATTTCACTGGATGTTTTAGAAATGATTAAAATCTATTATTTATAAACAACTTTGAATAGCATGGTATCCCCATAGGCTAACGGTAAATTTGCGGATTTACAACGCTAAAATTATGGGTTCGATTTCCCGCGGCCATTAAATTGTGAACAATATGATAATAATAATACACAGTTAAAAGTATGCGGAAAAAGTTGTCAACACAATAGATCGGCCCCTCTTTTTTTTTGTTTGAAACAGTACAATTGAAATACATTAGTCCATTTTTCGCGCTCATTTTGTTAAAAAGGTTATATATATATATAATTATATATGCTATTATTAGTCTACAATCACATTTAATATTCAACGTATGTGAATACTGTTTTATTGGACTTAGTTAAATGTTTATTTATGTATGTAAATTTTATACGTTTCTTTACGTATATGTACACAAGATTCTTGCGAAGCGAAAGAGCATGTCTTTTATGAAATAGTTTTGAGAGTATAGGAAAGAAATACATGACTTGAAATAGTTATCAAGATCCGGAACTGCAAAATACACTGTATATTTTGTTCAGTGAACACTGTTTATCAATGGACGAGAAAATGATTTATCTACATTTCTAATTTCAGTTGTGAGATATCGTCATTTTTATTTTCTGTAAAGCTGTTGTTCCTGCTTCTCTGGTCCCTACATAAAGAACGCCTAGAGGATACTAACGTTGGCATCCCTACCTCTGAAGTTCATACGTCAAGTGTTCCTGAAGGATACTAACGTTGCTGCCCTGCCTCTCTATCTCCTACTTCAAAAGTGCCTGGAGGGTACTTACATTACCATTCCTGCTCTCTGGTTCCTTCTTCAAGTTCATATGGAGTATACCTCTACTGTCCTCACTTTAAGTACGTACAGGATATACTAACTGTCGCCTCTGCCCGTCTGGTACCTTCTTCCATTATACTTGGGGAATACTATAATTTGGTTTCTGTTTCAAACAAGTCTGAGAGACACTAACGCTTTGTAGCTGTCACTCTGAAGTTTACTTCGAGTGTGCCAGAAAATTCTATTTTATATTTCACTTTAGTTATCATTTTAACTGAAGGAACTAACATTTTTGTCTCTATCATTACGATACCTAATAGAGAATACTAATACTCTACTTATTTTTCCCAAGTTCGTTCGGTGATAGAAATACTATTGTTTTCTATCTACTTCTAGATAACTTACAGATACTGACACCGACGTCGTTATCTCTCTGTCCTCTTCATTGAAATATATTAAGTTCAATTAATATTCGAATCAAATCTAGTAATTTTTTTTATTTCGACATTTTTGATGTGAGAACTCATTAACCCACATTTTTGGAAATGCGTACTGATGTAAGATTTTTGTAGCGAAAGTGTAAATACAAGTTGCTTAGTAGTAAACTTACGTACATGATGCGATGGTTATACAACTGGCTTTTCTAACCTACAACGTAAGTATTTGATATTTATGCAGCACATGGGCTAATTGACCAAGTCAAAGACCCCCTAAGATTCAAATATAACCATCTCAAATTTTTTATCACTGACCAAAGGAAAGACAACCAGTCAGCAGCACCTGCCGCTACTAGAACTTTCTCTGACGAATAGCGGGATTGAGTTTCATTATTATCACGCAGGTAAAAACGTGGAGTATGTTAAGCGTCATTATGGTACGAACGCTAGAATTTCTGATACGCAGCCCCGCACGATAATCATTACGCCACGTCCAGCTAATCAAAGTACTACTTATGTTTTGTAATTCTTTTAGCTATTCTTCTTTAGAACAGTTCCCCCTCAAGTTTTTAACGTGTTCGATTGTTGAGAAAGTTAGAGCTGTGTTTTTCTAAAATAACAAAATAACGCTTTGTTTGTTTGTTTTGAATTTCGCGCAAAGCTACACAAGGGCTATCTGCGCTAGTGTAAGACTAGAGGGAAGGCAGCTAGTCATCA